ACTTGACGCGTGCGCGCGCGCATGCGCGCGTTTATTAACGTTTTTAGTCTCGACAATGCTTTTTTCGATTGATGGAAAAAAAAAAACACAAAGGAGTTTTTGCTAATTTCACAGAACGTGACCACACAAACGACGTGCCGGCAGCCGCCTTGTTCGAGGATATGCTGCGCGCACGAACACGCACAAATAGATCATGCCGTCGCTATAGTAACCCCGTGAGACTGAAAATGAAAAACGTATCTTGAATGTGAATGTGTTCGAAGGACGTTCTACGAGAGCAAGATCTATTGAAAGAATAGGAAAACAATTGTGTGCGTGTGTGCGCGGAAAAAAGAATTGCCATCGGTTAATTTTGTGCGAATGTCAACGAAAAAAAGTAGAATCTCCACCACTCGTGCGGCAAATAACGGTTCGAGTGCATCCACACAAGCCGGAACATTTATCGGAAAGACATCGATGATACAAAGAGGGAGAGAACCTTTATCCCGCTTCTCTCCCGTCGCTCCGATCACGGAGAGAGACGATTGGTACTGCTTCCCCTATATTGTCCTAATCGATTGACGATGTCTTTAAGGGGACGATTTCCCGTTCGAGTTTTCCCGTTCGTAAGGAGTTCATTCCCGCTATTGCAAAAACGTTCCTAATTCAGACAAAGAGTGAGAAAAAGAAAGAAAAACCGCAAATTAATCACAGTCGCAATTTTGCTTCGCGCGAAAAAGAGATCAAAGAAAATTTTCACTTTCACGATCACGTGTGAGATATGTTGCTTCCGATATGTGTCAGCAGCGTCAGTTGTTTCTTGGCGCATTTTTCGTTAAAAACATTTTCAACATTGGATCATCAATTCATTGGATCGCTGATATTCTCGACTATGACAAGTCGGGTCCAATTTATATCAATTGCAGTACGGCTGCCACCGGTCGAACGTGTTTTTGTGACAGCCTCTCCGATAAGTACGCGGGAATCGATCATTCTTTGACAGAATTTGACGGAGAGAAAGAGAGAGAGAGAGAGAGAGAAAGAGAGAAAGATAGAGAGAGCTTTAATTGCGGCAATGTTTAAAGCTCTAAAAAAGAGTTGGAAGAACTCTTTAAGAGACGCTGTAATCTTTCGGACTACGTATGGTTTTTCTCACGCGCACGTGTTCGAATGTTACACCTTTCTAAACTCTCTTTTAACAGACATTTTAAATCCTTCCCGACGTTTCTCTCTTTTTTTTTTTTTTCACATCTGCCTGAGCGACACGTCCGCGGGACGTTTTAATCTTGCAGAACTTTTTATATCCTCAAGACGCTTTTTACGCGTCTCCGGGACTCATCCCGGTGTCGTCGTTACGTAAAACGACGACGCACATAAGTGCATGTAAAATAAAAGAAAACTAACCGATAATGAAATAAAAAAAGAGAAATAGAAAAAAGGCCGATCTAAAGATATCCGGTGTAAAGATATTCCATGGAGATAGCGCACGAGGATTCTGCGGCAACGTTATCGTTCACGTCACGCGAAAAAAAAAACGGTTCTCAGACAGAAAGTCTCGCACTTCGACACGGATTTTCCGCGAAATACAGACAGACAGACACACACACACACACACATACACACACACACTTTCTCTCTCTCTCTCGGATAAAAAAATCGGCTCGGTTGGATGCAGTCGCATTAATTCATGTTACCACGGCCGCGCGCGCAGAGCTCTCGTTTATAATCCTCACCCCCTCTTTCCATCGTTCCTCGGTATCGATACCAGTACTTTGGCCGTGTTGGCTCGTAAATTTATTATGGCAAATCCCGATACCCGCATGCGTGACACTCGAGAGCTGACGGCTTTCATCTTTAAGAGGCAATAACCGATAATTGGATCATCTCGCTGATCCGTTTACGGTGAATCCGACCGGCCGTTTGAGACAATGAAGGGATTTCTGAATGTCAGTAGACGCAACGGTGGAGATGTAAAATCATCTTGGCCGAATGCCGAACAATAATTGTGTTGTAAATTTTAATCAGTAGATGACGAATAAATAAACGAGATGATCATTTGACTCGTGATTTATTGATTCGCAATTTATTGCCGACAAAATGACGAGTTTAATTTTGAAACAGCAATTTTATTCACAGCAGATCGAATAGCGATTAGAATATTTTTGTTGCTCAAAAATGAAATTGTTATAAATAAATTTCTCATTGGAAATCCTTTCTCTCGCGTTTGCAATTATTCAACTAAATTTACCTGAAACTTGTATACATATCTGGTGTAAACCGCAGAAACAATGACGAGGAGAAGCCACTCCCGTAAAATTCATAACTCGTTATACGTGCTACATAATCTCGCGATAGTAATTTCGCGAACATCCGCGAACATTGTTAGCACTCGTAAAGTCAACGAAGACCGGGTGAAAATGAATTTTCGCGTTTACACCTTACGGCGTTACACACGCACGCACACACACACAGACACACTCACTCTCCCTCTCTTTCTCTTTAATCCTTTAATTCCTTACTCCATTAAATATAGCGGTTAGAAATTTTCACCGAACAGATATGAAAACTTTGTAAGTAGCGGAGAACAATTTTTTTCGGAATAAAACTTGGAAATGCACAATTGTGTAAAATTCCACAACGCTAATTTGTATTCTTTTATGCACACGAATTTCTTTAATACATCAAGATATTTTTGAGGTTTTAATAAAATTAAAATAACACTATTTAATATATTATCGTTAAATACCGTATTTTATAATGTATATTATTAAATTAAAATTGCATCACAATATGTACATTTCATTACATCCCGCAAATCATATTTAATGCACGTGTTCGTGTTTTATTTATTCGCGCGCGCGAGCGTATTAAATTGTCTCTTTCGTAAATAAAAATTTCGATTGAAATTTGATTCGTTTGCAACGCGTGACTTTAGCGAAAATCAGCATGCGATGACTTCACAAAACTTATAAGCACATCCTCGGCGAGATTATTATCTTTGAGAAGTCGAGGAAGAAATCTAGCGGAAAGCGCAGTCGAGATTTGCCTGTGTACCGTTACAAGCTCCTCGATCTCTTTCCCCTAAGTCACCTCGGCGGAAAGGGGCTTTGCCCAGCCAGCGAACTTATTGTCGTCGTCGTTCTTCCGGAAAGCAGCTCGTTATTGCGATCCACAATTCAGCCGGTCGAAAAGCTCTTAAACCGCTCTCGTGCTCGTCGGATTTAAGCTACGTATCCATAAGTAGATATAACGAGCGGATATTAGAGCTTGTTCTCTCTCAACTCCGATGATCAGACACAGAAGGAAATAAATATGAAGCAAAGGATTAAGAGAAAAATATAGCTTGCGCACACGTAAATTTTTTTCTATTGAATCCGAAACACTTTTAAATAAGTTGAAAATCCTTCGACGAGTGAGTCGCGCGAACACGTGTGGATGACATAACGCGAATCTGCAGCACACACTCGACCTCTTGTCCTTGAGATGCAAATTACGCTGGGAAAGAGAAAAACTTTATTTTCTAAAGTGTAGCGCGCTTTACTTCTTTCGCACCGGATCTTCTTGCGAGCGCTGAAAACGTTAGCTGGCTCTTCTAGCAGTTCGATAAATGTGAAACTGCTTTGTTAAAAGCTCCAACGTTCAACTTTCATGACGAGTAATGAACTTCACAAAAGTGAATGAATATTTCATTGTTTCCGCGAAAAGGTGAACAATTAAGACAAGAGTATAAGAATTCGCTAATTTTGCACTTAATCATTGAAACTTGATGAAGTAAGTCGCGCTCTACGACTCTCTTTATCGCAATTTATATTCTCGATACGGAAACGCCTCAATGAACAGTCGTCATTTGTTTAAACTTGTTTTTTAATAAACTAGCACAACACAGGCGCGCGCTACGCGCACGCTATTGTTATTTTTATTTAACGTGTTGTAAGTGAACACAACTTGTCACCGCGATGACAGATACTATATACGTCTTATAAACCATATAATACACATATGAGAAATGTCAGAAATAACGCATGATAATCAAACTCAAAAATTAGTGAGAGAGAGAAGTGGAAAAACAACATGTGAGAAGGAAAAGGGTAAAAAAGAGAATATTATATATATTATATGTAATATTCTATATTTTTATATAATACACACACATACGCATATATGTGTATATATATATATATATATATATATATATATATATATATATATATATATATATATATATATATATATATATATATATACCGTAATCACGTGACCGAAGTCAGTAACACCGCCGCGGTTGCGCGGCCGAGGTCACTGACTCTACTGCAGTCACGCGACCGAGGTCATTGACCCCCCCCCCACCAAGGCCGCGCGCCCGAGGTCAGTGACCCTTCCCCCCCCCAAGGCCGCGCGGCCGAGGTCAATGCCCCGCCAAGGCCGCGCGCCCGAGGTCAATGCCCCCCCAAGGCCGCGCGCCCGCGGTCAGTGACCCCGCCAAGGCCGCGCGGTAGTATGTATATAATATATATATTATATAATATAAAGTATAACATTATAAATATATAATAAATTATATGTATAATATATATTATTTAAAATATATTATTATTATTATTATATTATTATATATTATAATATATTATGACAGCTAGTACACGTACGACAGTATGACATGAATCGAGAAACACATTATCCGAGAAACGTCACCGAAACGTCCAATCAACGTCGCGGAAAAGAGGCAACAATCAAGATCGATAGAATTGATTCTGATTATTTACACACTCTTTTTCTGGCAAGAAGATAAAAGAAAATAAAATTTCGTTATAAATACAAAAAATAACATAAAGATGTAGTATAATCATTTTAAAACTTTTCCTGAATTATACTAGACAAAAAACCTTTCGATCGGTTCACTAATAATAAAATAAACTAAGCTGATTACGTTGCATAGTTCACTGTATATCGTTTGTTATTTTAAATGTATATTATGTAATTACACGCACGGAATGTGTGTATGTGTGTGTGTTCTGTTTCAGGCCTCGTTTTACTCGACAGCACTGAAAACCCTGATCTCTGTGTCTACTGTGATACTGCTTGGCCTCATATTTGCTTACCATGCCTTAGAAGTTCAGGTACGTGTCTCCGCGCCCACGTGTATGTATATATACTTAAAAAAAAAAAATAATACAAAGCAAATAAAATATCAAAAAAAGCGAGACGCATTTGCGACGACGATGAGTTGATAATCGCCGCGAATTTTTTTTTTTTTTATTACGCGCACAAATGTGTTTTACAAGCGCGAAATATAACCGTAAAAATAGAAAATCGAACTTTAAAACGCGGAAACGTATTTTATCGTCGGAGCGATGAATCAGTTTTGCATTTCGATCGTGTCTCTTCGATCAGACCGAGCGCGACATTACGCCCGAATGGATCGCGGAACTTTAACGGCCGTCATTGTGATTTCTCACGATCTCGTCCGACAACGGCAATCGAAAACGTTATTGTGAAACGCGGCGCGAACGATTTTCGCAGCAGATACGAACGTCGTGCGTATTATGTAGGTACACGCACACGTACATGCACTTGCGCGAACGTATATACGTGTACACACACCGTCGTGTGCGCACGAGACGCGTTAATGCGCCTCTAATAAAAGGCCAATTACGTAGCGCGCGATCAAATTTTATCTATCCCGACGCACACACAATGCGCCGCCGTCATCAACCAGTCATTTATTTATGTCGCGGAACTGTATGTGTTCTCGGAGTTTCACCGAGTTTAAATCTTCAAAATGTAGACAACTACAAATGAGTAATAATTATATTTTACGCGGGAGCAAATAAATACGCAATAAACTTCTCTCTCTCTCTCTCTCTCTCTCTCTCTCTCTCTCTCTCCGTCGGAGTTTAGAGAAAGAGCCGGCGCGTCGCGCTGCAAAATTATTCTCGAGTAATTTCGAATATTTGCAATAAAACTTTCAGCCGGGAAGTTGCGAGCGTTTACAAATGATGAAATATTAATACGCGAAAATATAATGAATAAACGAGCGAGTAGGCGAGCGCAATGAAGAAAATTTATTCAAACGATCGTCTCGCCAAATAGGAATTTTTCTTGGTCGAACATAATCTTGCTGCAATTTCGCAACGAGACGAGAGATATATATATATGCATGTTCTAATTGAGAATTTCCTACTAATCTATTTAATGATCTTGTGTATGATAATAGCATCAAAGGGAAACAGTTGGGGCTGCGAGCAGCTGCATTGTTCATTGTGTTTCACAGTATAATATGTCTTCACCGTTCAAGTGTTCATCGCGCATAATATCTTCGCGAGAGAGAGGGCAAAGGAGGTTTAACTTCTTCTCGCTTCCTTCCTTCCAGCATGCCGGGGGCTCCCGATTTAATGAGATACCAATGGTCGACTGCAAAACGAGCTTCGTCTCAAAGCTCCGTGCAAAGCTTAGACGAGAGATCCGAACGTTTAAGCGTCAACTCAAATATTGACCGTAAGACCGTCTTTCAAGTCCTCCCCCTTCCTCCATATTGTACATACATACGTTCACAGTATACATACCGTGTGATCCGCGAAGAAGCGGCGTGTAACTTTGCTATCCGATTTCTCCGGGAGTTTTGAACGGGATTTGTATAAAGACAAAGTCAATCCCGGAATCACAACACAAAGTAGATGTTTGAGTCCATCGCGGAAGTTACCCTCCCTCTCTGTCTCTTTCTCTCCGCGCAACGAACGATATTTCAAACAATCGTTTTGTAAAAAGATTTTACTGCGAATTGTTTTTTGTCAATTTGCAAGTTTTCAACATGTTAGCCTTCTTTTTTGTTTTGTCGCACAACATCTGGTTTCGACATCGTATTCTCGTTTTCTCAAACTCTTCAACATCAAATTCTCGTTTTCCTATTTTGTACATTTTGTGTAAAAGTGTTATACTTTTCCCTCGTCTTAATTGCATTCGAGACACTGTATTTGCGCTTCAATGTTTCGCCTTAATTTCACTTAACGGAAATGGCGCGAATTAATTTTACATGGGCGGATTAGCTTTCCCCCTTTCCTTCGCGGCACCGTCGTCTGCTAATGGCAGACTGTCGAAGCCGATCAGACCCGGGAGGAGGTGAAAAAGAAAACGGCAATAGCTGCCAACATTTCCCACGTATATATCCCGAAACGGATAATCCTGATTCAATGTGGCGGAAAACTGTTCTCGTCAGATCCTCGACAGTCGTCGCGCCATGCAATTTCGTCACGCGATATACATCGGGAATACCTCCCGCGCGATATTGCCGCATCTTTGCATCCACGGAAATCAACCGCGGCGAGCGGCATCGTTGAAAACGAGATGGCAGCTTCGCAAACCTTGCGGTTTTGCTCCTCGTTTTTTTTTTCTCACGAACAGGAGGTCGCTCGGAAACTCGAATTGTAAAAAATTTCACACTCGCAAATGCATCGAAAGCGTATCCTTTTTCTCGCAAAAATAACAGGTTTTTTTCTCTTTAAAAACAGAAGGTTTTTTTCCGCGAATTATCATAAAACGTTGTAAAATTTGTTGTAATAATAAATTTTTCTCTGAAATTACAGTCAATTTTTTTTTAATCAAAAAAGGAACATTTAAATAACGCGTTTTTATTAATCGTAACTTATTAAAAAACAACGAACACAGTGAATAATCACGCATTGAATTAAAAAAACTATAACGAGTTTAACGTCTGGAGAAAACATTCCGACTATAATTCGTCACGTCTGTCACTTTAGCGCGCGGTTTCTGTAATTACGGTTCCGGAATTATCGAAGGTTTTTTTTTAGACTTTAAAGCTCGTTTCTGCGAAACTATTAGCGCTTATCATTGGATAAGTATGATGTAGGAACGGTTCGACGTGATGACCAACCCAAGCTATTCCAAGCTGGCTCACGCAATCTTGCGGCTAACAATGGCTGGCTTGGAGCCTAATGGCTTGCTGACCTTTCGGCACCTGTTGATTGTCGTTTATCAACGATTTGCATGCGCAGATTTACATGCGAGACCTACCTGATTCAAAGCATCTCAAAGAGACTTTCCACGCCCAGCTCAGTCCTGATCGATATGTGTCACTCGTCTAGATTTGTTATCGTCTTTCTATAATTCTCTCTCTCTCTCTCTCTCTCTCTCTCTCTCTCTCTCTCTCTCTNTCTCTCTCTCTCTCTCTCTCTCTCTCTCTCTCTCTCTCTCTCTCTCTCTCTCTCTCTCTTTCTATCTCCTCTTACTCTCTCATCTCGTTACGTTACGGTTTAATCTTCCGTAGTATCGAATTACAAATTTGTCGTAAGCTCCATAGTCCCGTAATCTCAATGGGTCCTTGATCGCCACGGGATATCGCAACTGCATGGCACGGATCTCACGGATCTACCTCGGGTGTTTATATCAAGGTTAGCTATATAAAGGTTGAGCGGGAGAGAGGTTTCTAATCCCCGTTGTAAATTCATGATGATCCATAAATCATTGACTGAATGAACCACCGCTGGTTGCGCGCTGTTGGTGTTTTACCTTTGGTACCTCGACATAATGCACGTCTATGGCGCGCCGCATCCTGCGCGCTAGATTTTTGCCGTCATCCTTAACCCGCCGATATCTCGCGTGTGTACATTTTTCTCCCTCACTTCTTTGGTTTTTTTCCAATGCGCATTTTTCCTCCCCCCGCACATTTTTCCCCTTTCTTTTTTCTCCTTCCCGAGCTGTCTCTTCCGGATTATTCTTTCGCGTAAATGGACTCCCACTGCATTATACTAATCTATTCAAAAGCTTCCTCTTCCCCCACCGCTTCCGGATATGGGGACGGATCGCATCTTTCGCGGCGCATTCGAGAAATACGAGCTGCAAAATATCCGCGATGTATCACGGTCGGGATATCGCGTGGTTAAGGTCTATGTAAAAGGTGTATATCTTGTCGTGATAAATGTGTCGTATATTCCATCCGGATTTTCGGAATAGAACAACTCCGTCGTGAGAAAAGAACGGTGAGATTTAAATTCGCCGGAGAGATATCTTTCATTCTTTTCCAGTTATTCAGAAGCGAAAAACTTGAGGGATGATTTATGACACCCGCGAGTGTTCTAATGATCGACGGAATCTCGATGTGTCGCAACAAGAATGTGCGGTATTACGTCAATTTACAGAGAGAGAGAGAGAGAGAACATACTCGAGATAAATTCGCGGAATTGTGACACCATGAGGATTCGAGTTTAAACATGTGTGTTTTGTATTTCTCCAGGAGATATGAAAGAAGACGATTTACGTGACATTAAATGTCTCGCGGCGAGATATAAGAAGTCTGTGCTATCAATCGAAGCTTTCCTCTGTGAAATCAAAGATTCATGAATCGATGTTGCAAAACAAGAGCGAGAGATTTGTTGTCAAATTCGGTTAGGGATTGTTGCTGGATTATAAAAGATGATTTGTTGCTGTGTGTAAAATATAGCGGCGGCACGTGTGCAGTTACAACCCGATCGTGATGTTTCGCGCGCGTACAAAATGAACCAAACAACGGGCGTATGTTGCAGCGCATTTTAATTAAGTTACAGAGAGAGAGAAAGAGAGAGAGAGAGAGAGAGAGAGAGAGAGAGAAGCGACTGAATTTCACGTTAATCGAAACGCTCAAAAAGCGCCCTCTCATATCGGGAATATCGTGTAGAGCTTATTTGGCCCCGCGCGATTGTGTCGCGCCGATGTCACGCGCGATTGGCACGAATCGAACGCGTACGTACATAAAAAACGTGCTTTGAACAGAGTCCGCGTATGAGATCGCTCGCGGCATAATGAAATTATTCGTCTATTATTATTCGCTCTCGATATTCGGGCGCAATGAATTGATACGGTTCAGTAAACGGATATTTTTCCGATGTATAAATATTATAATACAGATATATATATGTATATATATATATAGCTTCAATACAAAAGTCCGGGCAATTAAAATGATAATTAACTCTCTTTTGACACCGGGAGACGGAATTGAATTAAAAATTGATAGTTTATGAATTAAAAAATTTAAAAAAATAAAAAGAACGAATAAAAACTACGAAATAAGAAATATGTGCGAATATTAAGAACACTTGGCAATATTGAACTTATATATATATATATATATATATAATATGTATGAGCGTTCGCGAACTTCGCGTAAGGAAAATATCATATCGAATAGGTCGCGCGTAGCTCGCTACGAAGTGCTTGAATATGCGGATTGAATTTTCGAACAGTATTACTCAAGTAATGTATTCCCATACATGCGGTATGTGGCACGTTGAAGAGCTTTATATAGTTATTAACGCTGACAATATCAGCAGATACGCGTTTCAAGTGAGAGCGTTAATCTCGTTATCTTCGTGATTAAGTATCCATTGGGATTTCTCTATATATGTGTGTGTATATACGTGTGTGTATGTTTCGGACGACAGTTGTTCATGATCGATAACTGCGCGGACGACTGGCGGATCGCGATGACCTGGCAGCGTATGGCGCAAATCGCGCTCGAGCTGTTGATCTGCGCGATCCATCCGATCCCAGGCGAGTATTACTTCCTGTGGACGACCAAGCTGGCGAACAAGAACGGCAACATCGGCTCCCAGTGGGTGCCGTACGACGTCACCCTCTCGCTGCCGATGTTCTTCAGGCTCTACCTCATCTGTCGGGTGATGCTGCTGCACTCGAAGCTCTTCACGGACGCGTCGTCGCGGAGCATAGGGGCCTTGAATCGCATCAACTTCAACACCAGGTTCGTTCTCAAAACCCTGATGACCATCTGCCCCGGCACGGTGTTGCTGGTCTTTATGGTCTCACTGTGGATCATCGCCTCGTGGACACTGCGACAGTGCGAGAGGTAAGGCAAACATCTCGATTTCTTCTGATATTACATATTTATCGTTGAATTACGATCGTATAGCTTTCGTTTTAGTTTGTTTTTTATTTGTATCCGTGACCGAAGAGAAGATAGTTCCGACGGTTTCTTGGCAACAGAAATCGTAGCGTTCGCAATCTTTTCCGCGTTCGCCGCGCGTTACATAAGTGCAGCAACAGCGATTTCGTTTTATATCCGCGCTATCCATTATCCAAGAAGACAAGAAGAGAAGCAGTGTGACACGCGCACGTCGAAATCATATACAGTTCGACGGACGCGACTCATTTGCGTGTGTTCCGCGAGATGATTGATTTACGATTTAATGGCGCGTCCATCCGTCGCGCTATCGCCGTCGTAATCATAAATCCTTCGCTATTCTCCTGCGCGGCGGAATCCCGATTTGGGTCGCCATCGGATGACTGCGGGATTTAGTGGATCCCGGACAGGCTGATAATTAAATTCGTAAACGGCCGTCGCACCCCTTCGCGCGTAAATAGTGATTTCAGAAATAATCAATCTTGGTCCGGGCGATATTAAGGCGCCGCGCTTGTGAAAGAAGAGGATTCTCTCGATACAAGCTGCGTTTCAGTCTTTCTTTTTCCCTTAATAGACGGCAGCTTTTTCTTCCTCTTCAGCTTTAACTGAACTATTTATCACTCTCGAATGTTGATTTTCTTCGACTGCGAGCATCCCGTCTGGAAGTCCTCGCCCGCGAGCGATTTTTAAACTTCGACAATGACGGCCGATTGCGCGCCAGAGATTGTTATCTCTCTGAAAAAGGAAACGTAACGTTTTTTTTTTTATTTCTTCCGATGATTCGAGCGTCTTACAATTCTCTCGTCGCCTCGTTATCACGTTTTATATGTAAACAAAAACAAAACAACATGCGAGAATATGTACGTTTTGTTTCACTTTTTACATTCTTATTTGCTCCATCTCCAAAATCGCGAATCATTATATTATGACAACAGTATATAACGAATAACAATATTTGATTATTATTCGTTAACGCGCGCAATTGAAAGTTATTGAATTTGCGGTCACGTATTTGCATCTATATTTGGAATTAAAAAATCAACCCGATAATTTTGTTTTTTGCATGCAAATACACACACACACGCGCACGCACGCACGCCCACACGCGCAACATTCGAGACCGGCCTCCTCGGTGTTTTGCGCCCGGGATTACGGTACCGGAAGTTGTCGGGAAATTTCGAGCGAATATTTTATTTAGTATGCGTCCGCACGCATTGTAAATTTTCACGATATAACGCGATTTGCACGGTGCATAATCATTCGTGTAATCGATGTTGCGCGATGAAAATAATTCACTTGATGGAATTCTATTTCGATCGCGAATAACCATTTGTTGGCGTCCGTCAAATGATCAATTTTACGGATATCTGGTATCGAGCGGTATTAGGAACAATCAAACATTAATCGAGCATTGGTCGGGACTTCTATCGCATATTCTGTACAATTATTAGAATTAATTTGCATTAGTATTAAAATTATAAATTTTATTTCTCTTCTGCCTGTACGAGAGTAATAAACTCCTTTATTTCTCTTCTCTATGTAAGAGAGAGAGACCTTTGTTTAAATATTCTACAATCTAGATAGGAACAGTCTAGAATAGGAACATCACTAAAGCGCGGTAGAGTTTAACAAACCGAAACCTCGAAGTCGCGTTCATTTTGGCGTTCATGTATTGTCGGAATAATACATTTGTCGCTTCGCCGCAAACAGGTTCCACGACGAGGAACACGCAAATCTCCTAAACGCCATGTGGCTCATCGCCATCACGTTCCTGAGCGTCGGTTTCGGCGACCTTGTACCTAACACATATTGCGGTCGAGGTATAGCCGTCTCCACTGGAATGATGGTAAGAACGTAAACTGTGACATAAAGTCGCGGAAATTCTTATCACTTTGTGCGAGTTCTTTCCCCTCGAGAGATTACACAATTCACCGAAAAAAAAAAACAAAAAAAAACACCTCGGAAGAAAAAAAGTAACAGTCGCTGCTTTTATAGACCGTATTCTATAAACTCGATATATTTCGATAATAATTTTCGGATAATAATTTTGCCGCGCGTTGTGAAATTAACTTTAGTATTGAAAGTTGCGCGGTTTTGCAATTTGTATTGTACGTCGCGGAATGGGAATTTCTGCGCGAACACACATGTAACTCGAATGCGCCCTCGTGTTAAACGTTCGTGCTGATCAAAGCTTTAGTCGTCGTGTAGTACAGCAATCGTAATGAGCGAGCGGGAACGTCGCAATTGATCGATCGATCGATTCGAAGCTGCGCCGCGTTTGCTTGTCACGAATTGCCTTGCCGTCGTGATTTGTATCGCCGCGTTCGAACGATTTTACGATTATATACGCGGTGACCGTTTATAAGTAAAGGCAACACGGGAGAGACACGATAAACGCCAAGTCCACTCACTCCCCCGGGGAGGCTTCGTTCCTTAATGTTATCACCTCTCTGTCTCCTTTCGTCCCTTCGCTCCCGCTTTCGTCCACCAGCCATCCACCGTTTCTCTGTTAATCCATTAAATTCGCAACCCCATCGCGCCGAGCTTTAACCAATACGGCTGAGTTCCAGCGATGTGAACTAATTTCTCGCTAAAACTTCCGCTTGGCAAGATTGTTGCAGGAAGTCGGGCTCCGCGATTCACAACAGTTTCCGAGTTATCATTTACCCTCGTCTCCCGGCGTTCCTTTTTATTTATGACATTTTTCTTTCTCTCTTTCCCCTAGTCTCCTTGAGATCGTTTTGAAAAAAAAAAAAAAAAAAAAAAAAAGGAACTCGTGTATTTTAACATCCAATAGTTTGGCTGCGAAAGAGAAACCCGCGATTGCAGTTTTTCAAATTTTCAGGGAGCCGGGTGCACTGCTTTACTGGTGGCAGTCGTTTCCAGGAAACTCGAACTTACACGGGCGGAGAAGCACGTGCACAACTTCATGATGGACACACAACTAACGAAAAGGGTGAGAGACTCGTTATTCGTAAATAGTTCTATTGTTTACAAGCAAAGTGCGGTCTCACGTAATACTATATTACAAGACGAGGAAAATAATTTTTGCTGTAACGAGTACATGCAATTTGAGATAAATTCCTGTTCGCGCGATATTGTCAGAAATTGCGGCATAAAAAACTAAAAGTTCGAGCTTATAAAAAGGGATTTTATACACACACGCGCGCGATTATTTATTTAACAAAAGAAAATGATAGTAACTGTGCGAACATAATTGCTGCGGGGTAAGTTTTGAAATTACTCTCGCCGACGTTATCCCGCAAGAATCAGGAAAACGAATTAAACACGTAATGAGAGCATGATGAATATCAACTCTCTCTCTCTCTCTCTCTCTTTCTCTCTGTGTATATAGCGCGACGTAATTTTCCGAGCTGAGCCACGTAATAAGAAGGTATCCCACTGCGAGTAAGGTAGCTTCGGAAATAAGCAGGCTGCATGGAAGTCGGTTGACGAAGTCGCTTTTGACCTTTACGCAAATCGGACTTCACTGTCGGGTCTCAATTTTTTAACTTTGATATACCGCGATACTTTCAACGAAGTCGAAATATCGCGTTTCAAAACTCAACAAGACGTTAAAGAAGAGAAATTGTAGATGTGAAAAAAAAAAAAAAAAAAAAATGAGAAAAACTTGCAAACACAAAAAATTCCGGAGCGGAGAATGAAAAAGCGTGTTGTTGTTATATATCGTCCGTCCGAAGACATGGAACAAGAAAGTCGGCTAATATGTCATTGTTGCGGACTCTATCACGAACGCGCGGACTACGACATCAATCGATTCGATCTCGACGAACTTTCAAAGAAAAAGAAGCCTCAAAGTAAATTGCGGAGCGATAATATTATGCGCCTGGCTAGAAACACCTCGCTGCGTTTTTTTTCCCCCACAACGATGTTGTTCGAAAATTGACATTTTCCGAAACACACACTACGTATGCAAAGAGAGCGACCGTTTAAAAATTTTTTGTGTTTCCTCGGTTCTGAGGTTCGACTCGAAAAATCAAACGATTTCGCCAACTGAAACTTTCGAATTAAGAAGTCTGTAATGAAGAAAAAAAATCTTGGATTTTTTAGAAGAACTTTAAAATGTAGCATTTAAAACTTAAAACGCGCGCGTGTGTTCTGCGACAATTTAAGTTTGACAATAAATCTGAAACAAAAACTTTGTTTGCACTGGTTATGAGATTCAAAAGACAGAGAGAGAGAGAGAGAGAAAGAGAGAAAGAGAGACAATTTATTTATGGTGATATTAAACACACGCGTTAAAATACGTATGTAAAAAAGACAGACGAAAATACGCGCCATTATGTATTTCTCGTACAAAGATGCTTTTTGTGTTAACTCGTGTAAATTCCACAAACCAGAATCGATCGTCTACCGATGCTTACGCTATACATAAAGAGTCATTGTAGCGATTCCCACAACCCTTTCTTCACGAAGAGATAAATTTTATTCGAAAGTTTGTCCGTTTGATTTGTTGCATGTGTGTGTGTGTGTGTGTGTTTCGAAATACGGAAACGCGAGAGAGGAATGTGTGCGGAACGCATTTTCGCAATTATTTTGCAAATTCAAATTAATTAATAAAGGACCGCGTAGATTATTTCATTCGAAACGCGAGAATTTAAATTGTTGTCAAATGTCCCGCTCGACGGCGAGAAAGAGAGAGAGAGAGAGAGCGTTGCATAAGGTCGCTTCTCTCTGGATCGAAGCCTTCAACTACACAGCTACTGAAATAATTATTAGCCAGCGTTATTTATAAAGCTTGCAAATATCAAGGAGTGGTAAACGTAGGAGCTATACACGTGACCGTATCGACGAGTCTTTTTACGCCGCTTTAACCCTCGGATGCATATCGCTTTTTTCACGTCATTGCATAAGTGGAATCGATCTAATCCCATCAGCGGCGACAAAACAAATGTCAACCCTTTCGAAACATATTTTTTTTTTTCCTCATTCGTGCAAAATTCACGCGCGAGACGCGCAAAGATCGCGCGTTCTTCGGCGAAAAACGTACAAGTGTGTTTGTATGTGTGTGTGTGTGTGTGTGTGCATATAGCGTTATTTAAAAGTGATCAAAAACTGATCTTAAAATATTTTCTTGTAATATATTTGTAATACCCAAAATATGTTGACGGATATAATCCAGGCTCTTCTCCAGCTGAGGATATATATTAATCATTCCTCGAGACAAATTGTACGTCCTCGGGATCTTGAAGGGCTTAATTGATCATGACGCAGGATATTATCACAGCTAACGAGAGTTACGTAATTAATGCTGCGACGTGTTATGCTTACTTTAAGTATAATATTGGCTTAGCAAATGTGTGTACATGTGATAATTCTGGACACATATCTTGCTTCGAAGACGTGTAATTTACGTCGTGATTTTGTACAAATAACGCTGAGAAACAAGACGTTGGTAGTTTTTTTTTTTTTTTTCACATGAAAAAAAGAAAAAGAAAAAGCTTGCAAATATTTTTAACGGTGTTGTTGATCGTACGTTGAAAAGTTCGGGGATCGACACTTAAATGGAATGGCAACTTCCTTGTTTTGTTGCAGTTGAAGAACGCCGCGGCAAACGTGTTGCGGGAAACATGGCTGATTTACAAGCACACACGCTTGGTGAAACGCGTCAATCCCGGACGTGTGCGGACCCATCAGCGAAAATTCCTATTAGCTATATACGCGTAAGTTGATACTTACTCTTGCGATCGCGCGCTCGACGCGGCGCGTCGTAAACACTTCTGTCTCACACACATGGCGAACCCGAAATTTCAGACTCAGAAAGGTAAAAATGGATCAGCGCAAATTGATGGACAACGCCAATACCATAACGGACATGGCCAAGGTGAGGATCGATGTCTAACGAAAACAATCATCTCTCTCCTACTTGCGACGTAAAAAATATTTCAACACAGCGGATCCGAAAAGTTAAAAAAGACCAAGTGGGATTACAATTAAAAGTTCTTGATATTTAAACAGACCGAGTTTCTTTTAGAATTGATTATTTTTTTTTAAGAAGTAAGAGAAAGTTTCTTTTCAATTATTTCTCTTTAATGAGAAAAGATTTAGTTCCGATTTAGTTGCGATTAGAAATCGCCGTTTCTGTTGTTGTTTTTTCTTACATCGCTTTGAAAAAAAAAAAAAAAAACGCACAAACATTAGCAACGCTGTAACTAATGTCACTGTCTGTGTAATTCGTTTGAACAGACGCAGAATACCGTTTACGAGATCGTCTCGGACATGAACACGCGGCACGACGCGATGGAGGAACGTCTGGTGAGTCTTGAGGAGCGTCTGGTCGGCCTAGGAGAGAAACTGAGCTCGCTGCAGGGCCAGCTTGAGCTGCTGCCCGAGGAGCTGACCCGCTGCCTGGCCCAGCACGCGGAGCGGATGGAGCAACGGCGTAACTTCCTGCACCCGGACACCGCGGTGGCGATGGCGGTGGCTTCCGGCGGCGGCAGCGGCGGCGGAGGAGGAGGCGCGGTCGCGTCGGGCACAAGCCTGAGCATCTCCGGCGGCAGCGCCGCCGCCGCCGCTCACCACCCCCTCGCCAGTCTCTCCAATTCTCCCCTGCTGCCCCACTCGCGCAGCGTGCCCAGCGCGCCCAGCACCATGTCCCTGCACCCGTGGCCGGTCAGCCCGGTCCTGCCGCCCGTCTCCAGCCGCACGCCGCACCTGGTGCCGGAAACCGGCAGGCATCACGGCCTCAGTCACTCCGCCTCGGTGACCGCGACGACCTCGCAGTCGGCAACCAGGCTCACTTCGCAAGCCGGCATGGGCGGGTTAGGCAACAGTCAAGGCTCGGATACGTCAGCGCATAGCTGAGTCTCGTCTCTGCAGCCGCAGCACTCGTATTAAAAGAACAAGGAAACAAAAACAACAACACGTCCCTTCCGAAGCGCCCGAAAGGTTTCCGCGTGATCGCAGACCGTGGCCGTGTGCTTTGCGCGACCGTCGGTTTCATCACCGACGAAATAATATAATATAGTAATATTATATAATCGATACAGTACTGCCTGGGGTATAGGTCGCACTATACGGTCACACAAATACACATACACACACACACACACACATACATACATACATACGGTCGACCGGAAGAGTGCTCTTCGCACAAACGAATGTGAAAACTCCCGTTCAGAGCGGTGTTTACTCGTTTACGTCATGTGACACACATATACATAAGTGGTTCACCGTTAAAACAAAGATAAGTTGCATCCAATCGTCATATGATCGCGGTGAATCGTTGTGTGAATTTATTCGCGGTTTTGTCCTTCTCTTGAAAAAAAAAAAAATAAATAAAATAACACAAATATAGATATCGAGGAAAAAAATAGCTGACGGATCGTTCGAGAGAAGAACAGTTCGTCTCTCGAAATCGGAGGCTGTGTTCAATCGCGCTGTGCACACACACACACACAGCGGATTCCGCAGGCGCCACACAGATTCAGTATATTAATTAGTTCATTTAGCGTGAGAATATATTTCAAATTTTCTTGGAGTTATATCTCGAAGCGCAATCCTTCTTAGCAGCTGTTTTCTGAATTCAAAAACGCGAAGCGTAGTCGAGAAGCTTGACTTATACTCCTTGTATAACTAAACACATTTCAAAAACATGACTTCGAAGGTAGAGACTCTTTCGTGTCCGAACTTTGTGCGAACGGTTTTTAAGTTCACGATTCACGTCGTGGCGCTCGTTTACATATGGACCACACATCCGAGAAGGATTATTACATTTTAACTCGTATATAATGGAGTTGTTATTATTACGTAGATCGCAAAAAAAAAAAAAAAAAAAAGAGATTATATACTGCTCTAAATGAGAGTTCTGTGATGAGACCGAAGAAATTTAAATCGGATACGGCCGTGTCTGTCTTTCGTGCGAAACTCGTAAAGGGCCTTCTTGCGTCCCGCGCATACCTTCGAGTCCTTTCCTTAGAGAGCAGAGAGAACGTTAGACAATTCTATTCGTAAAACCAATTAAGGATAACGGGGATTACGATTGCGAGTTAAACTTGAATTGAGAAAATTGAAGCGCGTCCGCTCGAACTATAATATCACCCGCTCTTCCTCAACGCGGGTTATCACAGATGAATATCCATTTTTGTTCCCATTTTCTTAAGCATCTACATTTTACGTACAGATAGATTATCTCCCTCTTATTTGTTTATTCAATTGCTTACTGTTTAATCGCTACTCCGTTCGACGACTCCTTTTGATTCTTTCGATCTTTTCTTCATTCTCCGATAATGATATAAAAGTATTTGTTTATGGGATCGAAGTTTCTCTCACAAGTGAACAATCGAAACTCCAGGACAATTGGGACTTGAGAATATCACAAAAAAAAAAAAAAAAAACTGATATTCGCGCTCTCTTGAGCGATCGAACACAGCCGATCGGTTGATTCTCTCCAAAACAAAGGAAAGGAACTCTTGAGGTACGCGCGGCTTCTTCCACTGGCTGCGCGCTGCTCCCCTGCCCAATTTGCGTGCCTGAATAACTGTTTTCTTAATAATTAAATGTACATTCGACACACACACACACACACACACACACAGAAACTCCACCTTATATCTCTGTATACCTCGTGAGGAGCGCGGACGGACATAAAAGAGACGTGTGTGTGTATACAAGAAACGCGTGTGCGGACAAGGACTCGGCCCGGAGGTGCATCGAGCTGGCTCTTAAAGTTCGGCGCATATATATATGTACACACACATATATATATATAACGAAGAAGGTAAAATCCGTTCTCTCTCTTTCTTTTCTAATTAGAAAAACTAATTATTCATGTCTCTGATATATATTCTTGAATTGAAGGCGGTTTCGATCGATTCTCATTATCAGTTTTTATGTATTTGTTCCACATAAGAGCGACTCAAGTGCCACAGAAACGTGACTTACGTGACTGTCGCTTTAATGAATAAAACGAAGAAGCGAAGAATCGATGAAGTACAAGAGAGACTCGGCGGGATCACGCGCTTATAATCGCGCACGTTTTAAAACTGCGATGTACCGATATATCGAAAATCGTTAGATCGCACAGACGTACATTCCTTTTCTTCGTTATCGCGTTTCGTTATTATTAACGAAATCGTTGATTTTCGCGCGCATCAATGAAATATTAAATTGGACCGTGGTAAGCAAATTGATTTTTTTTTTTTTTTTTTTTTAAGCGCGCGTGTGCTTTAAGGGCCGGCGCAAACTCTCACCGGGGAGTGATGCAGAAAACGATTAGATGAAGAATGCAAAGTGATCTTATCCGCTTTAACGTCCGTAGGTTATACATAGGATTATTATATTACTAGTGTATATAACATATACATATATATATATATATATATATAAAACTTGTACATGGCGCACGGGTACAAAAAAAGCGGCTATGTTTCCACTTTCGAGGGAAAGAGGGAGGGAGGGGGGTTTTGATGATTTTTTATATGGAAAGTATCGCGACCACGCGCGCGAGAGGATTGCGTGGCCGCGCGTGGGAGAATAGGATTTAATTAAATCGATCGATCAAATGGGAAATTAATTATTTGCCAACGACTTCCCATTCGGCGACGAGTTCACCAGGCTTGTTTGTTCCGGTTGGGAGTTTAATTATTGCTACACACACATACACACACACACATACACACACATTCGAATATCTCTGTACAGTTATATAACGTATAATTCGGGATTTGTCTCTGTATACAGAAAATAATACGGATTGTGATCGGAGTATAACGCCGCTATTGTTTTCCTCAAATTATATTGCTTTTTCATATTATCGTAAATCCGAATTCCGAAACTAATCGACGAACAAAAGGGATCTTATTTTTGCACGCGCGAACAAAAAATCCTGGTGCGCCGAAGTTAGCAGCAGAATGTCCCGAAAAGAACCGAATTTGCGAAGTATAATTTGCGAAATCGTCGCACAATCGACCTTAGATCTCTGAAGCAAGACAAAAAAAAAAAAAAAACAAACATCTGAATCTCTGTCGACGTGGTTTCAGTTCTTTCCGGAGCACAATGTGTTTTGCCGTCTGTAACTTGCAGTCTCGCGTTTATTCTTTCCAACGCGATATTACGCATATTTGTCCCGAAGATGTTCACATCTCTCCCGACGCATCGACACAACGGTGTGTTTTGCCAATAGCGTAAATCACACAACCGACGTGTGTTTGTCGAGGTTTTAACAAGACGAGCTTGAGCGACTTTCATCCCTTGAACATCAGATATGTGACACGCAAATTTTGCGCATTATAGTGCAAAATAATATATTTGCAAGGACTCTCAATCGAAAACAAAGCCAATTAGCTCTACAAATTAATTCTGTGCGAAACCAAAACAATTATGAAACTGTTTCCGAAATTGAATTTTCAACAAAAGAACGAACTCAAAGATGTTCGTCACGCAAGACTATAACCGATCACCGGAAAAAAAGTAGTGTGTGATCTCTGTTTTACTTTCGTGTCTTGTAAAAAAAACTTATTTTACACTTTTATACACACCGATTCTTAGATTTAGTTTATAATGCGTTAATTATTGTTATAAACGAGAGATGTTTAAATTAAGTTTGCACAAGAGAAACGTCGATCGAGCCTATCTCTGTCCTCGACCGTTCAAACGCTCATTGCGGAAAAAGCTCACTTATTAACGCGGATAATGCGCTGGGACCTGGTTTGTCTTGTCCGTCATCGTTTCATTTCGAAAGCGTTGTTTCGCGGCTACCCGCTATGCGAAACGGGACCAAAACAGACACACAATTTTCACACTGTTCTCATGCTGCTCTCCTTTTCTTCTCCTCTCCTCTCTCTTCCCCTATTTCCTACACCTTGCACTTTCTTTTTCTTTCTTCTTGTTTCTTTTTCATAATAATTAGAGATTTTTTTTGGCTAGATGAAAAACGTAATAAAAATCGCAAAAAAAAAACGATAATTATTCGACGATTGATTTTGTCTTGGGGTGGAGGGATTTGAAATTTTACTCTACGGAAGAAATGAATTTCCGTCTAGAACAGAAAGAGTTATCTCGTTCATCTGAAGATACATTGCTATTTGTTCGAAGTTTTCAACGCGAAATGTTCTATAATAATCTAATCTCCCGTCTTGTTTCTTCTATTTCTCCTACTTAATCGAATTTCTTGGATTTTTTTCCGGTCCATTTCTCGCTTTTCTTCTCTTCTTTCGCATCCTTGTTTTTACCACAAACTCTTTATCTCTCTTTCTCTCTTTTTCTTTCTCTTTCTCTCTACTTTCCTCTCTCCCCGCATCCTTTTCAAGGAGCATTTCTCTTTCGCGCGCGATTTAACGCACTGGATACGACAACTCTATGATATTTTTATATAGATTTCTTAAAAGTGCATTATGGTGCCAGGAAGACCACGCCAAGTATAAAAAAAAAAAAAGCGTAAAAAATAAAAACGCAGTCTCAATATATTGGATTATTATTAAGGTGATATAGACACCGACTCTATGATATTGTTAGTACATATTAACGACGATATATATATATATATAAAATATAAAATACGTAGATGATTGCCGCATTTTTCGACGTAGTGAAGCTATTTACACGTCACGTGAAGAAGAGAGAAAAACCGCGATCGAGTAACAAAAAATCGGTAATATTAACAGGCCTTTTCCAAATGTTTGGAATCCACCAATGCTGAGAGAGCTTCGAATTCTTAAAAAACTTTGATATCTCGACATTGTAGAAGTTGAAAAACTTTAGAAATCTTGGAATTCTATAGATTTACAAGATGAAGAGAGAACTTTCAGGTTTTGCATTCAACCGCAAGACGTTAATTCGTCTCAGGAACTTACGAAGCTACG